AAAGACCCCACTGTGGCCCCTGACTCAGCCGCTATGTGATTACGTCCAAATCAATACTTACAGTCTGGAGTCAGGTCAGGAATTATATCACTTGTTTTGCATATTATAGAATCTGCACAATAGTTCATCAATTGTGTTTGTGAGTCAGCTTGTCTCTGATGACAGCATTGTTTACTGTGCAATCCAATCTGACAAACACAATCATCAGCCTCCCTCTGACCAAATGGACCCAGGCTGTAGTTGCTGCTGATCCACTAATGCCCTGTTATCTAAATATGAAGAGAACATTTGTAACAACAGAAATCTCCCTTTTGAAAATATCTCAAAACATTGTATTCCTCTTGCTACAAACATGTCTTATTATTGCCAGGGAAATTGAAAAGATTTGCTCAAAAAGCTTTTAATGTTGTTGTTCCAATGGCTCATATACTTCCTGTGTTCTTGATCTATTGTTCTATTCACTTATTTGATATAAACAAGTGTTACAAGTAAGTTTTTTTTATGGAAATACCAGTTACAAACCAGTTACAAACCAGATGCAGTACCTTTAGTGTTATACAAGGCAATGTTAATTTTCCACGCTGCAAGGTGACAGGTTTATAATCAAATTAATCATATAATAAATGCAGATAACTTGCATAATTCTGCAAAACGGCACATGTTTCATTTGGGTGAAACTTCTGGCTTTATTTACAAACATCTGCATCTCTCAGTACTTGGCCTGAGGCTTCATCGCCAGAAAAATATGATAAATTACAACATTTGTTCAAATTCTATACGAACCCATCACTTCTGTAGGGACTCCCAACACGGTACCCACATACAACATTTATTTACCTACAACTATACCAGTGTAATGTTCTAATGTTCTGCCACCTCATCTATTTCCTTTCAGCTTTATATCACCCCTATTACACCCCACAATCCGATAATGCATAGTCTGTAACTGCTTTTAAGCTGGTGATAACAGCCACAGCACTGGCTTGCAGCAGCAGCAGCAGATGCAGCAGAAAGACACAGCAGCACACATAAATCCTACATCACGGTTTAGCCTGGCAAAATGTTTTCCACTCTCTCCACAACTGGGCCCCTGTAGCACACGCCAATAGCGCTGACAGTGTGGAAGATTGATTTAAGAGATCCATAATTTCATTTTGCACACTGAGGCCCACACTCCATTGAGACTAGACGTGAAAGCATTCCACCTGAGAAGCTCGTAACAGCGTTGTCTAGGATTGTGCTTACATATTGCACACGCAAGCATCATCAACAAAGAGCAAAAGCATGGATCAATACAGCGTTAATGGGAGATTAGCGGATGCAAGACGACGTACAGGGATTACACAGTGTTTTCATTGAAGGATACGTGCACACAGAGAACAAAGAACCTTAAGATTTAGGGCATGTTGTTAAGCAGCGTGGGTCACCGTTCTGGAAAATGGTAAGGGACGAAAATTCTCTTCAAAATTGGCATGTTGACATCGCTTTTACGCATTCGGGTCAGATGGGGAGAAAGAAAGCAAGCACCAGCCCAATTCATACACACACGCACACGCATAGACACACACACATACACACGCACACGCAAATCAGCTACAAGATGAAGTGAAGGCAACAGTACAATGTGTGCAAGAATCAATATATGAAGTGAACGATGCGCGCCCTGCAAGGTCACCACCACCAGTGACTGGAGACTGGACAACAACGAGACGAGACGCAACAAAAACGCGGGGATAAAATAGACACACACACATACACACAAAAGCACGGCACCTTTTTTTGGAGGATGCGATTGCCCGTCTTCGGTGGTTGTGGTGCTGCTACTGCGTGAGTCTATTGTGTTGCTGATGCTGCGGGCGCACGGCAGGAGCGAGGCTGAGCTGTAGTCGCGGTCCCCCCTCCGGATGATCTGGGGAGGAGGGTGTGGCAGTCAAGACCCGGGGAGAAGGCGAGAGATGATGGCACACGTACGGGATCTGCTGCTGCTGCTGATGCTCCTGCTGCTGTCACGAACCCAGCACGTTGTTCCACCTATACGCACAGGCGCAAAGCAAGAGCGTGACCAGTCAGAGATAAATCCGTCAATGAGGCGTCTATTCCCAGTGTTGATGGAGTGGACTGGCTGTAATGGGGTCATATATTAAGAACCAGCGCGTGGGTTTATGATTGTTATTATGGTATACACATGGAGGCCCGGTTGGATGACATATGCTATACAAATAAATTATCTTGATTGATTTAAAGCTGGGGTAAAAAAAAAAAAAAAAAACATACATAATTAATTTGCTTGCGTGAACAACAATACACTCAAAGAAATGATTCAGGTGGTTAGTATTTTGAACTCAAAATACATACTAAACTAAACTCAATAATTGATTTTTGCCAGTTTTACTTAAATTAGTGTGGTCGCAACTCATTTTAAACATGCCTGTCTCAATTAAAAGTTAATACAAGAATCCTAACTCATTTTTGTAACAAATTTGAACTTGATATTCTGGCATAACTGGACAACGGAGAAGTATTGAGTTTGCTCAACATGAAAATCCTCTTGTAAGCCTGGTGGCCCATTAATGAAAAAACAAATATATTGAGTTGATTCAAAATAAATATATTGAGTTGATTCAAAATAAATATATTGTGTTGATTGAAAGCAAAATGTGGCGAAGCAGTGACGCTACCCAGAATGCATTGCAGCGAAAAATATAAACTTCTTAAAAATTCTACATTTGAGCATTAATTTTAAAACTGAATATGAAGCAAGTCCTAAAGCAAAATACTTGAGCAACATTCTGAATAAACTAATTTGACCAAATAAGTAATTGTATTTATTTTTATCAACCATGATCGAGAGGGCCAAGCCAAAGCAGTCCTATACTCCCTGTGTCACCCTTCAATTTCGAACAAATACTTTAAGGTGGACATGTTTACCAGTGACTCTGCTGGTCCACTCTCATATATATGTGGAGTGAGAGACTACTACCTAAAATTAACAATTGTGAACCGTTTTGTGAATCTAATCTTTGAAAGATGGTATTTGAATAAAGATTACATATTCCTGACTGAAAATCACTTGTTGATTATACTCAAAAAGATTTATTTTCAATGTAATTATTTAAGTTGGTAGTATTGTTAAAATTAAGTTGAGCTGATGCTAAAACACTTGCTGAATATACTTAACAAAGTGTCTTTATAACTCAATTATTCAAGTTGGTGGTATTGAAAAAATTGTGCTGGACCAATGATAAAAGACTTACAAAGAATACTTAAAACACAGTCTTGTTCGCAAAACTTAAAAAGATGCATGCAAAATGCTGCCTCAATTTTATTAAGTTTTGCCAATGCATTTTTTTTTAGAGTGTAGTTTTGTTAAAGGAAAATGTTGTTGTAGTTAAATCGTAGCAGTTTATTAGTATAGTAGTAGTAGTCAACAAAAAGATACAACATTTTTTTGTATAAAGTGGTGACTGGTTGAGTCAAATTAGTTTTTGAACAATGTACTTGCAAAAAAAAAGGTTTGATAAATATACACAGGTCTTAAAGGCATACATGATCTATTTAAATATTATTTTTATGTTGTTAAAAGGACTCGAAAGGACTCGAAACTGAAACGATAGGACTTGGGACTCGACTCGAGACTTGTCGGCCTTGACTTGGGACTTGACTCGGGACTTGAAGGCAAAGACTTGAGACTAACTTGTGACTTGCAAAACAATGACTTGGTCCCACCTCTGCAATATAGTATACAAGTAGTGCAACAAAAGTTTAGATTTAGTGTAGTAGTAGTAGTAGTAGCAATGACCAATGATTGAAAAAGGTTGTTTCCAGAGAATATACCGTTATTATTATAGATCCATGGTAAATGCACACAACACATTCCTTACTTAAACACACAGCACAAAAATAAACAGAAGGCCATGTATTTATCATTCACACAATAGCAGAGGATTTCAGATTTTTTTAAACAATATTTTATTACGTTTTTAAAAACAATCCCTACATTCACACAGGCATATTGAAGAAAAGAAGAAAAAGAGAGAAGAATAAAAACAAAAAACAAAGCAAACCATAAGAATCTAAAATTAAAAACAATTAAAAAAGATGAAAAAAGCGAAAACAAAAAGATATGAAATAAGATATATGTAGATATTTTTCTTATTTTTGAAGTTTAAGTTGTGTGCATACCAGATAAACTGTAATGTGTCATCTTTGGACATAGTTTCACATTTTTTAAAACAGACATGACCACCCATTTCGGTCAGGCTTAATTTAGCACTAAAATCCTTAATATACATGCTTTTTTTTCTTATTGTAAAATGTAAAGAAATTTTGAAAACACTGAAAAATCTGACGTTCATAATGACCGAATTAAGATAAGACACTATTGATCTCACACTGGATACATTTAATAAATGAACTTAAACTAGGGGGAATTTAAATGGAAAACCTTTCAAAGAGCATGTTGGTTACTTTTACATGATGAGAGAGGTGAGTTTATTGTCTGTGTAGATTTGGTTTATTTAGCAATATGTTTGAGAATTTAGACTTATGGATATGGAATTGGCCAGGATGACTTACAGATGGAAAAAGGAAATATTATTTAGTTAATCTGAGCTATCCATGATCAGAGCAGAGCATATCTTGAAATCGAAAGTTGAGGGTTAGGGTTAGGGTTGAACTTGTTTCCAGAAGGTGGCAGTAGTGAGACATGCCCAGGAGACGTGAGTGACAGTCTCATGTTCTCTCACTCCCACAGAAAATGAAAAAAAATGAAAAAATGTGCGCGGGTTTGGTTTTTTCTTCTTTTTTTCTCCCTTCTACTTTTTCGTCACATCAGCTAGCGGAAGAGGCGTGGCTTTCTACTCTGCTCTCCCCAAACTTCTACTTGGTCCAAACTTCTCCAGTATGGGTATGTGGCGGTAGCGGGCCTCTGCAGACTGGTTTATTTATTTATTTTAGTTTTTTTGCCCAGTTTTCTTGATTCCTCACGGGGTGTCGGGATCATGTTTACTTTCAAGACAGCTCCCTCAGCTCAGAAACACGCAGGCGCTCGTAGTAGCTGTGCGCCCGGGACCGTACGCGTCTCCATGAGCTCTGCGTCAGGGCGCAGCCAGTCCGCCGTGCTGCCCTCCGTGTTGACCTTTCTGGTGATCGTGGCTTCGGGAGGTCTGCTCATGATGATCGAGAAGGGCATGTTGAGCAGAGTGGAAGCTCCGGGACCGCGGGCGATGGGCAGGCGGCTCCACACGCCTCGGGACGTCGGCAGCAGCCAAGAAGACGTGGACCTACAGGTACAGTCTCTCCGGAGGACACTAGGGATCCAAGGGTTAATGCGTTTGTGTACAGTGATGCACGGCACACAGAAACTTTCTCAAAAGCACTCGTTAGTGTTAAAAGGTCGTCTCTACCACTACTTTTACCTGTAGTTGTAATAAATGTCTTATGAGTTTGGTTAAAGGTGCCTGTCTACCTTCCTGTTTGCATATATAATAATAATAATAATAATAATGTATCGGTTTTATATAGCGCTTTTTTGGACACTCAAAGACGCTTTACATGTCATTATTCATTCACTCCATACACGGTGGTGATAAGCTACTACTGTAGCCACAGCTGCCCTGGGGCACACTGACAGAAGCGAGGCAACCAGTATGTGCCATTGGCCCCTCCGACCACCACCAACCATTCACACACAAGACTCATTCTAGGCAATGGGGGTGAAGTGTCTTGCCTAAGGACACAACGGCAGTTTGGCACTTTACAGCCGCAGCCGCCCCACTGTGGCTGGTGTTCCCAGAGGTTAAGCGTCTTGCCAAGGACACAACGACAGTAGTCAGAGGGAGTCGATGGTGAAAGTATTGAGCGGGGCTTGAACCCACGACCTTCTGGCTCAAAGGCCAACGCTCTACCAACTGAGCTACTGCCGCCTCGGCAGTCACAATATGTGATTTCTTTGTTTGGAACAGGCAAGTCCAAACAAAACAAAGGCCCGCGGGCAAATTGTGGCCCCTGTGTAATATTATATGACCCGCTGCCTTCCTAAAACAAAGTAACCATAAATCTATAAGTTCACATAGTGATCCAGCCAACTTTAACTCAGCCAACGTAGACATGTTATACCTCGTTGTATAGCACAGGACCTCTGGAATCCAGCTGTGGTTTGAAATTGAGATTCGTTATAAATCTGACAGTGGAGACATTTCAGTGTTGCATTACCGGTTACAGAATAGTAGGAATGAGGAGCATGCACCACAAGACAACTGAACAATAAGTGAACAATAACTCAAAACTAAAATTAAACTAACTTTGACTATACTGATTGATGTGTTTTTATTGTACAGCCCTAATGTAGTAAACATTAGGACAAACACACAAGTAAACATTTAATAATAATAACAACAGTAATAACATTGTATTTAAAAGAGTCTTTAAAAACACCCAAGGACACTGTACAAATATGACATTTGTCATTTAATCAACTTCAGCTCTGTCAAATGTGAACAAATAGACCTCATTTTTAAGCTCAGAACATCCCAAATCCAGTCAATCCATATTGTCGGCCCCTGGACAATTTTGGTGAACTAAAATGACTTTTTAGTAAGAGGGCCACTAAAAAACTTGGTTTAAAACATACACATTCTTCAATGATGGTGGATTCTAGAGCTTAAATTCTTGATAATTCATAGCTATAACTTGTAACTAAGCCTAGTGTCACATGCTTGGTCCCAATGGAAATTGAAAGTTTAATACCATACTGTAGCAAAATAAGAAGGCAAAAGCAGACCCTCCACAAGGACAGTGGTGGAATGCATCTCTAAGGTCTGGAATGTAGACATGTCATAGGTGCAGATGTAGATCCATGTGCGGCTTGTAGTAGAAGACCTTTTTATTTATTAAACCACGTTAACTTGTTTAGATATAGGAAGACATTACAGAGAGGTAAACAAAATCATAATCCTATACATCATTGTCATCACTGTTATCCAATCCAACTTTATTTTTAGAGCACTTAAAAAATTAAGAATGTCCAAAGTGCTTTACACACATCAGTTTAAAATTGTACATTTCAAATAAAACCAAAAAGTTAAATAGCAAATCAAGCCATTCTCATTTGTCTTGAATGTGGATTTTTAAATAATTGTTTTAAAAGGTTTAAAAAGGTGTAGGGCAGGGGTTGGGAGGCAGATGGAGACTCTTTTGTTGATTTTCTCTGACTCTCAAAAAAAACACTTGCTATTAATACCTTTTATTTAATATATTCCAATTAAGATTTGTCCAAGTATAGAATTTCTCCAGTGTACAAATGTTGAACAAAATGAAACAATCCTGAGCATATTATACTCCAGATGTATTGATATAAAAATAAAAAAATCACGCATATTCACTGTAAAAAGAATATGCAACTCAACAGAAATACATTTTAAAGTATGAGATTTTTTGGCTCTCACAGCTAAAAAGGGGCCCTCAGCCTTGTTTTTGAGACAACAATCAGGAACTACACAACACACACTATAGACAAGCCATGTGTTTTTGAAATTGAATTATAATAATTATTACAGTGATACATTTAGCTGTAAATACTGTGGTTCATACATTATAGCTGTTAATTGTAATAAAAAAAAGTGTGGGACCTACTACTGGCTGCTATGGTTATTATCAGAAGGAGAAGAAGATAAACTATGGAAGATCATGGTTATTGTGTATAGAAATTTATCTCAGTTTGACAATTTGCTTACTGGAATTTAATGTGGTCCGCAGAGAGTTGTTGAGTGAAAACAGTGTCGTAATCCAACTTGTGTGTTTTTGTCTGTAGGTCTCTCGAGATATCCGTAACCGGACCATCAAGGCAATGTGCAGTCAGAGAAACATGCCGCATGATATTTGGTCTCTTCAGCCAGCACAAAGACGGACGTTACTCCAACACATTTTAGTCAATGACCAGTATGGTTTTCTCTATTGCTACGTGCCCAAAGTCGCCTGCTCCAACTGGAAGAGGGTTTTGAAAGTCTTGAGCGGAGCACTGGAGAACGTCAAAGTCAACATTAAGATGAACCACAAAAGCGATCTTGTGTTTTTGGGATCCTTGAAACCAGATGAAATCAAGTACCGTCTAAAACACTACTTCAAGTTCATGTTTGTGCGGGAACCAATGGCACGTCTGCTGTCGGCTTACAGGAACAAATTTGGGGAGATTCAGTCTTATCAGAAAAAGTATGGCGTTGAAATCATAAAAAGATACCGAAAAGGCTACAAAAAAAATTCAAAAATAGCCGGAGATGATGTGACTTATGACGAATTTGTGCGCTACTTGGTCGATGAAGACGTGGAGAAGATGAACGAGCACTGGATGCCCATGTACAACCTGTGCCAGCCCTGTGCCGTGCCCTACAATTTCATCGGCTCTTATGAAAACCTTGAACGTGACGCAGAGTATGTGCTTCAACAAATCAAAGCGCCCCCTACTGTCCATTTTCCGGAAAGGCAGTCGTGGTACAAACCGATCACAGCAGAAACATTACATTATTATATATGCAGCTTACCACAAAGATTACTAAAAGAACTTCTGCCTAAGTATATTTTAGATTTTTCACTTTTTGCCTATCCGCTTCCCAATATCACCACTGAATACTGCCGACATTAGGCGCACACAGAAATGTATTAGAATTTGATTGACTCTATATCATTTATTTCAACAAGGATTTGGTTTATGTGAGGTATAGTATAAAACTGTTATTGTTATTTTGCAGTTACATTTCCAGGTCAATGATGGAATCTAAAAAACCACTTAAGGATAAAAATGTTACCCTAACTACATGCACTGTTTGATGGTTTCTTACTGCAGGATGTACATATTGTTTGATCACATTGTTGTGTTGTTTCTATGTGTTTCCACAGAGTTTAGCTTTCTGGCTGAACAGAAAACATTTTCACTGTGTTGAAAACTTCTATTGGTCTATCTTTCCTAAAACAACCTCTATTTTAATAAAAAACCAAAATGTCTTTCTGTATAGAAATTATTTTTGTACAAACTCGTTACCTGTGTTTTTTGATGGGCAAGTGACGTGCTTTATTCCTAAAAAAATTAGGAAACAATACAAAAGTATTTTTTGGTTAAGTGGGTTTAGCATTTATTGTACGACATATCCATTACAAAAGTGATCTTTGTGTGATTGCGGTGATGATAGTTTTAATATTTGTTGTAGAAAGAAGGTTTCAGGAAGGTCAAAAAGATTGGCGAGTTTATTTTACATATTTTTAAATGATTTTATGATGAGCATTAATCTTTGTTTACAATGTTGAGTTAAAAAGTAAAATTACAAAACTGTCTTCATATTAAGAATAATTTAATAACTTACACAAACAAATAAAAAAAAAACCAACAAAACATAATTATGCTTCATAACTTAGCTGCTACATTTTTGTTGTTGAGGTCCAAGACCACATTGGACGAGAAGAAAAATACTAGTCTGTACAATAAATACAAAATTTATTCCATATTTATTATGAGAGGTACGATGTTGGCACTGTGGTTTTATTTAGAGACTTGTGGCCCATTTCCAACCAAATTGTATTTGTTTGGGCAGTGTGTTTATGAGTTTATGAGTTTATGAGGAAATTTGGCTGTAGTTATAAAACTGTTGGTGCTTTGGAGACTCACTCAATCGCTCCGCCATTGTGGGAGATGTCACTCCTTGAAGCTTACACTTCTAGAAAATAGAAAATAAAGAACCATTAGAAGCCAAATTACAGCTGCATGAAAAGGATGTTTGCTTAGATATCAAATCTTGGTATATATGTTGTACTGTGTAAATCCTGAACCCCAATATTAATAATATTGTAAATAGATGTGGGCAGACTGATGCTTACTTGTCCGTTGCCTTGGATTCGTTGGATCGGTCCAGGCTTCGGAAGACGGAGCGCTCGGGGGAAGAGCGAGACGCAGAGGTGACATTATGAGGTGATGGACTCCTGAGGGACGAGAAGGACAAACCCTGTTTCCTCATCTCCTGGACGGCTCTCTCCCTGTGACAGGCAGGTAAAGCAATGTGACCTTTCAAAAAATTTATTCTTACTCTCTTAAATAATTGCAAGGACAAGAGGACCACACGCACACTAAATCTTCAGAAAGTCTTTGGAATGGGACAAGAAACAAGTAACAATGACACATCATATAAATTATTTAACTTTGCAGCCCTAATTCATTTTTATGTTACTATACAATTAAATATGAGCTTTGTTTTACCAGAAACAAGTTGTTTGGATGGAACAACTCTGAAACAGGTGAGCGGATTTGAGCAGTTAAATCATTTGCAGTTAAAAACAACAAAATTCAGATTTTTTTCATCTTTGCTAAGAAACACTTATATCAAAGTTTGATTTCAGCATTAGCTACCATGTATAACTGTTTAACTCTGGAAGACTCATAAAATCATCTATATCAAACTTTGTTATGAATCTCCAGTTCTGATGATAAATTATAATTTTATTGTTTTGTTACTTTCTCTTTCTCTCTCTCTCTCTCTGGGGGGCGACAGTGGCTCAGTTGGTAGTTCATTGGCCTTTGGGCCTGAAGATTGTGGGTTCAAGCCCACCGTAAGACCTACTTCACAACTCCCACTGATGTTTGCTGTTGTTGTGTCCTTGGGCAAGACACCTAATCCCACTTTGCCTGAAGCCCCCGCTGAAAGATCAAGGCCCCTGTGGACTCACCACCTGCAGGAGGATCATTGAGGGGCTGGCGATATGTGTACTGGGTACTGCCACCCCCCGACCCAGAAATAGATTAAGGGGAAGAAAATGGATGGATGGATGTTATTTTCTCTAATATTTTGTCTCTGTTTAATCTCCCATTTGTCTCACCGTTCAAAGCGTTCACTGGTCAGCTGTCGTTTTAACACATCCATCTCTGTCTGCAGCTGAGAAACTTTACTGCGCAGTTGAGACACCTCCCGAGAATGTTCAGCACTAAAACATAGCGACAAACATTCAATGAATCCATGATAACGAACCCGAGCCAATTTAAAACAAAAGCACAGACGTCATTACTTTTTGCTGTCAGCGAGGGTGAGTCGGTCTCGTAGTATTTTCAGCTCAGACTCTTTCTCGCTGGCCGTGAGGTGCGTCTGAAACTCCTTTTGTCGATTGGTGGAGAGCAGCGTCTCCAGGTTGCGAACGGTTAATCTTTCGCTGGCCAGTTGCTTCTTCAGGAGCTCCGTCTCTGATCGCACGTCCTCCAACTCCCCCGTTACCTTCAGACAGATGCATACCAGATTTATCTAACTTTTGTTCATTATGTGTTTTGACTGAACTAAAGTAGAATAAAACTAGTTAAACGTTTGAAAGGTACATGCATATCCCTCAATACACACTAGGTTCTTTTATCTCTGAAATGAGAGTTACAACTATGTGAAATAACTAATGCCGTAGGATTTTGCTTTGAATTGACAACTCAAAACACAAATTATAATCTGGGATCCAACTGTACAAATATCCCAAACAACTTGCATGTACACTAAAGCTCCCGGTTCACCATTTGCAATTTTTTAACAACTAAAGCTTGCCATTGGCTTATATGGCCTCACCCTTTCCAGATCCATGCTTTTGTTGGTGAGATGTCGAGTTGTTAATTCTTTCCCAGAGTCTAATTTAACACAGAGCTCTCGCACAGAAGCCAAATCCGAAATCAGAGCGCTCTTCTCCTCTTGGGCTTTGTGCAGCTCTTGTTCCAGACGGGACATCCCACGAGCCAGGGAAGACACCTGCCCCTCATATGTATGTAGAGCCTGCATGTGCTATAAGAAAGTAGGAAAAATACAAAAATTATGAATTTCCATCCATCCATCCATTTTCTTCCACTTTATCCGTTGCCGGGTCGCGGGGGCAGCAGTCTAAGCAGAGACGCCCAGACTTCCCTATCCACACACACCTCCTCCAGCTCGTCCGGGGGGACCCCAAGGCGTTCCCAGGCCAGCTGAGAGACATAGTCTCTCCAGCGTGTCCTGGGTCTTCCCCGGGGCCTCCTCCCGGTGGGACCTGCCCGGAACACCTCCCCAGGAAGGCGTCCAGGAGGCATCCTGAACAGATGCCCGAGCCACCTCAACTGGTTCCTCTCGACGTGGAGAAGCAGCGGCTCTACTCCGAGCTCCTCCCGTGTGACCGAGCTCCTCACCCTATCTCTAAGGGAGCGCCCAGCCACTCTGCGGAGGAAGCTCATTTCGACCGCTTGTATCCGCGATCTCGTTCTTTCGGTCATTACCCAAAGCTCATGACCATAGGTCAGGGAGGGAACGAAGATTGACCGGTAAATCGAGAGCTTCGCCTTTCGGCTCAGCTCCCTCTTTACCACAACGGTCCGATACAGAGACCGCATCACTGCGCACGCTGCACCGATCCGCCTGTCAATCTCACGCTCCATCCTTCCCTCACTCGTGAACAAGACCCCGAGATACTTGAACTCCTCCACTTGAGGAAGGACCTCTCCACCCACCTGAAGAGGGCAAGGCACCTTTTTCCGGTCGAGCACCATGGCCTCGGATTTGGAGGTGCTGATTCTCATCCCAGCCGCTTCGCACTCGGCTGCAAACCGTCCCAGTGCATGCTGCAGGTCCTGGTTCGTTGGAGCCAGCAGGACGACATCATCCGCAAAAAGTAGAGATGAAATCCTGTGGCTCCCGAACCGGACCCCCTCCGGCCCCTGGCTGCGCCTAGAAATTCTGTCCATAAATACAGTGAACAGAACTGGTGACAAAGGGCAGCCTTGGCGGAGGCCAACATGCACCGGGAACAGGTCTGACTTACTGCCGGCAATGCGAACACAGCTCTGACTCCGGTCATACATGGACCGGACGGCCCTCAGCTGAGGACCCCGGACCCCGTACTTCCGGAGGACCCCCCAAAGGACACCCCGGGGAACACGGTCGAATGCCTTCTCCAAATCCACAAAGCACATGTGGACAGGTTGGGCGAACTCCCATGAACCCTCGAGTATCCGATGGAGAGTATAGAGCTGGTCCAGTGTTCCGCGACCGGGACGAAAACCACACTGCTCCTCCTGAATCCGAGATTCGACCATCGGACGTAGCCTCCTCTCCAGTACCTTGGAGTAGACCTTACCGGGGAGGCTGAGGAGTGTGATCCCACGATAATTGGAACACACCCTCCGGTCCCCCTTCTTGTAGAGAGGGACCACCACCCCGGTCTGCCACTCGATTGGCACCGCCCCCGATCGCCACGCGATGCTGCAGAGACGTGTCAGCCAAGACAGTCCTACAACATCCAGAGACTTTAGATAGTCAGGACGGATCTCATCCACTCCCGGCGCCTTGCCACCATGGAGGCTGCCAACCACCTTGGTGACCTTGGCCAGGGAGATGGAAGTATCCGCCCCAACATCCTCAGCCTCTGCCTCCTGGACGGAGGACATGACGGGGGGATTGAGGAGAACCTCGAAGTATTCCTTCCACCGCCCGACAATATCCCCAGTCGAGGTCAGCAGCCCTCCACCCGCACCATACACGGTGTTGGCAAAGAACTGCTTCCCCCTCCTGAGGCGCCGGACGGTTTGCCAGAACCTCTTTGAGGCCGACCGATAGTCATGCTCCATGGACTCTCCGAACTCCTCCCAGTCCCGGGTTTTTGCCTCTGCAACAGCCCGGGCCGCGGCACGTTTGGCCTGCCGGTACTGGACAGCTGCCTCAGGAGTCCCACGAACCATCATTGCTCGATAGGACTCCTTCTTCAGCCTGACGGCATCCCTTACTGCAGTGTCTCCCAAAGTGGGGTCCGCGGCCCCCTGGTGGGCCGCGAGGGTACTGCAGGGGGGCCGCGGGAGGTCATAAAAAAAATAAAAAAATAATATAATTATTTAATGTTAAATGTATAATGTTTTGTTTGTAATATTAAAATATTTGTGTTCATTATTTGACTTGAATAAGCCACTGTAATCATTTTTGTATTACAATGTTTGTAGCAGAGGCTATTTCCCCAAAATAAAATAACCAGAAGAGCCTATTCTTAATGTTGTCTTCTTGGTTATTATTTTGGGGGGCCACGCAGACCCATCAGATTTTTAAGGGGGCCTCGGTGTTACTGAGTTTGGGAATGGCTGCCTTACTGCATACATGAATTTGCATACATTCAAATTATTTTTTTATCAGCATATAAATAGCATATTCTCTTCTAAACCTACAAACTCATAAAAATAAATTGCATCACCAGCTCTGGATCAGCCAGATAATAGTAAAATGATTAAATTCTCTCCAATTGATCCACATGCATAAACAAATGTGTACTTTTACAGAAAAAAAAAAAAAAAAAAAAACACTTAACTATGCATTTTCACTTCCCTGTACACAACCACTGCTCGTCAAGATAACTAAATAATGAGTGTAAAGATATTGTATCGTATCCCAAGGGGCATAAATATTAAACTACATTTGAGTATGTTACAGTTACTTGTTTGATTTCTTTCTCCTGGTTAGCAATTGTGACTTTCAGTTGTCTGCGTTCTGTGTCAGAGGACAGCAGCTCTAGTCTGATGGAGTTGTTGATGCCCTCTGCTTGCTGAAGCTTCTGCTCTCGCTGCTCCACGTCTGTGTGAGCCATTCTGAAGCGCTCTAGGAGGTCTCTGTTCTCCTGCTCCTGTGCATCGTCACCACACACACAAGTCAGGTACATGCATGTGGATATGGAGAGTTTGTGAAAAGGAGCATCTTACCTTAGCAGCCATTACTTTGTCTATTCTGGCTACTTCAGTGATGTATGAGTGGACTCTTAGCTTAAGCTCGTCTTTTTCATGTAAAACTTCTTCCATTTCCACATGTACGGCCTAAATAGTAGGGCAGCATGGTGATTAGGAGAATATTTACACTTATCCACTAAAAATTTAAAACATGAAACAAGAAAACATGAAAATGGACACTTTAGAAAAATCCTCCATGTTTAGTCCAAAGCAATGACCACTTGTTATACAAGTGGGGCAAAAAAGTATTTAGTCAGCCACCGTGCAAGTTCTCCCACTTAAAATAATGACAGAGGTCTGTAATTTTCATCATAGGTACACTTCAACTGTGAGAGACGGAATGTTAAAAAAAAATCCAGGAATTTACATTGTAGGATTTTTAAAGAATGTATTTGTAAAATATGGTGGAAAATAAGAATTTGGTCAATAACAAAAATTCAACTCAATAATTTGTAATATAACCTTTGTTGGCAATAACAGAGGTCAAACGATTACTATAGGTCTTTACCAGGTTTGCAAAAACAGTAGCTGGTATTTTGGCCCATTCCTCCATCCAGATCTTCGAGAGCAGTGATGTTTTGGGGCTGTCGCCGAGCAACACGGACTTTCAACTCCCTCCACAGATTTTCAATGGGGTTGAGGTCTGGAGACTGGCTAGGCCACTCCAGGACTTTCAAATGCTTCTTACGGAGCCACTCCTTTGTTGCCCGGGCGGTGTGTTTGGGATCATTGTCATGCTGGAAGACCCAGCCACGTTTCATCTTCAAAGCTCTCACTGATGGAAGGAGGTTTTGGCTCAAAATCTCATGACACATGGCCCCATTCATTCTTTCCTTAACATGGATCAGTCGTCCTGTCCACTTAGCAGAAAAACAGCCCCAAAGCATGACGTTTCCACCCCCATGCTTCACAGTAGGTATGGTGTTCTTGGGAGGCAACTCGGTATTCTTCTTCCTCCAAACACGACGAGTTTATACCAAACAGTTCTACTTTGGTTTCATCTGACCACATGACATTCTCCCAATCCTCTGCTGTATCATCCATGTGCTCTCTGGCAAACTTCAGACAGGCCTGAACATGCACTGGCTTCAGCAGGGGGACACGTCTGGCACTGCAGGATTTGATTCCCTGTCGTCATAGTGTGTTACTTATGGTAACCCTTGTTTACTTTGGTCCCAGCTCTCTGCAGATCATTCACCAGGTCCCCCCGTGTGGTTCTGGGATTTTTGATCACCGTTCTCATGATCATTTTGACCCCACGGGATGAGAACTTGCGTGGAGCCCCAGATTGAGGGAGATTATCAGTGGTCCAGTATGTCTTCCATTTTCTGATAATTGCTCCCACAGTTGATTTGTTCATACCAAGCTGCTTGCCTATTGAAAATTCACTCTTCCCAGTCTGGTGCAGGTCTACAATTCTTTTCCTGTGCTACGACGGTTATTTGGTCTTGGCCATAGTGGAGTTTGGAGTCTGACTGTTTAAGGCTGTGGTCTTTTATACAGATAATGAGTTCAAACAGGTGCCATTAATACAGGTATTTTCCACCATAATTTACAAATAAATTCTTTAAAAATTCTACAATGTGAATTCCTGGATTTTTTTTTTTTTCATTCTGTCTCTTACATATTAAGTGTACCTATGATGAAAATTACAGACCTCTGTCATTATTTTAAGTGTGAGAACTTGCACAATCAGTGGCTGACTAAATACTTTTTTACCCCACTGTATGTAATATGTAATTCTTTAATTTGAGTAATACCTGATTTTCTCTGGTCATTGTAGCGAGATCGTCCTGCAGCCTCCTGTTCTCTCGGACAGTGATTTCTCTGTCTCTCTTGAGTCCGGCCACTTCCTCTTGACAAGTGTTCAATTGTTTCCTTAGACTTGTTATCTCCCTCTCCTTGCTCTTCAAGGCTCCCTGAAGCTGTCTGAAAACATATTCCAAGTGCTTTATAGATACTGTTTATAATGTTACAAGTTATTGGTGAGACAAAGAGACTGGTTTTAAGAGCATATCATAATAACATTATTATTATTCTTTTTTGGTTAAGTACTTTATGCATGAACTGTTCTATAACTTGTCTGGCCATTATAAGCTAACAAGTCAAGACATCAACCACCAGTTATGTCTGTAAATATGCAGCTGTGGAAATTCAGTCTGGTAAGACGACCTGTGGTAGTCCTATCCCCCTTTATTCTCATCCCATCACACAGCGCTGCCAACTTCCCTCCCAACCTATGCCAATCAAACTGGCAGTTTAAAAGCAGAAACTCCCCACCACCTCCTCGTTGCCTCCTCGGGCCATTCAGGCGCAACGCTCTCATCCCAACTTTGCCCTTATGCCACCACCAGTGCCTAAAGCCTCACACAAGCAATGATTTTTCCTGACCCAGCGTCACAGCTGGGGTCTATGCGGCAAACAAAGAAAAAAATCAATAAATTAATTTAATGTATTTCCTGTGTACGTTTATGATAACTATAAATCAAATTGGCAGTTTCATATACCCAATTCAAACTAAAAACAACAGAAATCCTTACTTTTTTTGACTCCTGTCTAAGATAAGCCCAAGAAAGGACGGTGTCATATCCAACTATCTATAGCCGTAAACCATTTCCTGCTAGTTCCTACCCTAGTTCTAATCACACACTCATTCATTCACATTTCCACCTCTAGAACCCTCAGGCAAGCAGTAATGCCCCCCGGTGCCACCATGGCAGGGTCATCTACAAGAAATAAAAACATACCCCAGTGAATTGTCCATGTTAGTAACTGTGACTCTCACGTCTTCAATAGTCCTCTCCTGCAGAAAAAAAGTAAATTCTAAACAAACTATGGGTTATAATGTTTTCAAATATTCAAGAAGCAGTTGCAACCTTCTTGCCGAGCTCGTCTTGCAGAGCAACCAGCTTCTCCGTCTTTAGGTCTACGTCGTGCTGGAGAGCGTCCTTCTCTCGGTCCAGTGCTGAGATGGACTTGTGCAACAGAGCCACCTGCTCTTTGTGTCTAAAACTCTGTTGACTCAACTCAACTGGCAGACAAAAATAATGCAATGTAAGTGCTACAGCAAAAGAAAACGTAAACAAATCCCAACACGTCAACAATTACGGGAGGGACAATTGGACAATGGTGATAACCAAGAAACCCAGGGAGAGTCCACAAGAGCTTTGTCAGTCTTTCAGAAAAAAAATGTACATACTGTACATCTTCTCAAATTATTTAATTCATTTTAGATTGTTTGATTTGGTGTGGGCTATTGTTTGGGGTTGTAACCATAAACTGTATATATTAACGGACAGAGTCACGCCTATCGCCGCCGTTCTAACTAATGGGCCAAAAAATTTGCTATACCGGAGCTATCCAAAATGGCCGCGAGTGGTATCTGCGCAGCTGCGCATGCGTCAGCTGGCGAGAGCTCCATTCATTTGAACGAGGGACTTCAAAAATTCACAGCAAGTAAACTAGAGTGGTCCAAAACATTTTACTCCACTCAGCATTGACACACATGTGGAACGGAGCTTTGGACCAAGAGCCAGCCTTTGGACCATCCTGTAAAGACGTTTTCGAGAGGTCTGCCAATGCTATATGTTAGCATTGGCTAATTCTACTTCTGGGTCCACCCCCATCGGCCCAGAGTGGTATTGCAAGTATGTCAGCGCACGTCATTTCGGCCACTTTTGAGCCGGGACCCTCTCCCACTGGTTGTAACTAAATGTGTGCTTTTGTATTCATCAAGTATTATTATAAGGATAGATATTTTGACAAAAAAAAAAAAAAACATGTGAGTAGTAGTTCAAAAGGTCTCAAAAATGGCCTGGATTAAACACTTTTTCCTGTGTTGTCATGGAAAAATATATAGCAGTAAAATAACTTTATTGTTTCCGATTTATAAACATAATTTTATGTTGCTCAAATAAATACTATAATAACAATACATGGAAATCTTATAATATAGACATCTTGTGCTATCTTGAATGACTTGTTTTGTTAATAGAGTTAGAGAAAAAAGACTAAACACCGTACTGACCCATTTTCTGCTCCATTGCATCAATCTGTTCTCGTGCAGCAAGGAGCTCGTTTATCTTCACATTGAGTCGGTGTTGTGCGTCAGCCAGAGATCGCTCCATTTGCTCCTGCAATAATCTGAACAAAAGAATAAAAGCAAAACTTTACTTGAGTCGAGAAATGTAAATGTGTGAAAATTAAATTAACCAAAAACATATTTTTTAATTACCCATTTCACCAAAGGTTTTTTGAAATGTCTTTATTTGCTCACATATTTGGCAGTATGTGATTCTATTATTTAGTATTTTAACCAGGGGCTACAGATTAACCCAAGCTATCAATCTACTAGAGTAGTGCCAAAATTAAATAGATAAAAAAAATCAAATACACAAGAATATTAGTCATTGATCAGTAATTCAGCCATTTACCCAATGTTTACATCTATTACAGTTATTGACATTTGCCAAAGGCCCAATGAGCTTCAGATTTTAGATTTTAGTATTGTCTCTTGTCAGTCTCAGTTGAGTTTTGAATTTGTGATCTCCACTGTGTACATAGTCCGCCTACAGGATGGAGGTGGACCGGCTGGTGTCCTGGTGCAGTGGTAACAACCTGGAGCTGAACGCACAGAAGACAGTGGAGATGATTGTGGAGCACAGCCCCCCCGCCCCCGCTCTCCCTAATGGACCCCCATCACCTTGGTGGAGTCTTATCGTTTCCTGGGCACTACTATCACCCAGGACCTCAAGTGGGAGCTGACCATCAGCTCCCTCATCAAGAAGGCCCAGCAGAGATGTACTTCCTGCGGCAAATGCTGGTGCAGTTCTACACGGCCATCATAGAGTCCATCCTCACTTCCTCCATCACCGTGTGGTTCGCTGGAGCCACAGTCAGGGACAAGCAGAAACTACAGCGCATAGTGCGCTCTGCAGAGAAGTTGATCGCTCCCATCGCTGCAGGGGCCGGGCCGGGCTGGTTGTATCACAGCCGACCCCTCTCACCCTGCACATGGACTATTCCAACCACTCTCTTCGGGCAGGAGACTACGGTCCATCAGGACTAGAACCTACCGCCATAAGAACAGTTTCTTCACCTCTGCCGTCACAGCATTAACCGATCAAAGCTGTCGGTTGAAAAAAGAAAAGGGGAGAGGGGACGTCTCTTAATAACACTATTTTAAGCCCTATTTGCACGGTGTAACGAGCAGGTCCGTCTCTAGCTGTGTGCGCTAATGTATTATATATATTACTAAACTCCGGCACGACTCTCTTGCCGCGCACGCACACGCACACACACACACACACTTTCCCCCCCTCCATACGTAACATCCAGACGCATCATCTCTCCCCTCTGTTACCGCCAAAGTTGCACACTGGCGTGGGTCAGAACTACATTGGTGCTTACATTTACACACACATACATATATACAGACACACAGGTCTGTTGTGCTCCTCTGTGTCATGGAGCCCAAAGGATCCTCGCAAATACGCGGCTCCAGTCAAACCACATGGAACATGTTTGTGCTGATGGTCCTTGGCATTAGATCAGCTCCACACACATCACTTAGTGTTAAACTTTAGCAAAGACCTGCGAGACGTGGATCGTCACTCGCTGCTCTGACCATGTGAACGAGCTGTTGTTTGCTGCTAAAAAGTTTTGGAGGCTCGGTGGTCGGTCATGAAAATTCATAGTTTTTTACATCCCTACCAGGGACCAATTAACAGTTTGCAGAGGGCTTGTCTTGGTAAGGATTACCAGAGCTTTTAAAAAGAAAATCAGCAACTTTAACTGCAATTATATAAACCAAGGTACAGCTGCCATACAAATGTCAGGCCACATCTCCCTACATCTGGCCCTTCTTTTTCAACAGGTAAACTGCAAGAGATAAACTGACCCACTGTCCTAATTTTCTCAGGCTTCGCACCCAGGAGAAAACGCAATGTGACCTTATTTTTGACAATGTGTGTTAGTGTGCCTCTAAACATGGCTCTATTGAGAGATTCAAGTAGAGTCTCCTTTTCTCTTTCCAAGCCTTTATTGATGAGACTCGCTCAAAATACAAATACCAATAAAGAAATACAAAAGAACTACATTACTAATTACAAATTAACATTTAGTAAAACAGCTAATACCTAAAGCATGGAGCTGATTAGTCCCATACCCACTTCCATACCTCAGGGCACTCGCCTCTGCCTTTTGTTGGACCGTCTCCTCTGTGTTTTGGGCCAAAGCCGCACAACGAGTTTTCAGTTCCTCTTCCACCGCCTCCCTGCTCTCCTTCAGCAGACAAACCTGGGCACGCAGGTCCAGTCTCTCACTGTCCATCTATGGATGGAGACATCAAAATCATATCATAAGACAAGACCAAACAATAGCATAATATCTAATTGAACAGTTCATTTACAAAAACAGATATCCGTCAAAAAATATATATTCATCTAGTTTCAATATTCAATATATTTTGTGTTATGTTTTGGCACTACATTTGTAAGAATTAGTTATGGATCTTTAGTTGTATGGCACTAACATAAATCTGGCTTGTCAAAAAACTACTTGGTAAAGACAATATGGAAGCCTTTCAAATATTTTTTATGACATCTGTTTTGCAAATGAAGTATTCAAATAATTGTCAATAAGCATCCTTTAGCATAATTACAATCTTAACGTAATTCTCAAGGTCGACCATCTTCTTTTCGTCCTCTTGCCTGTAATTGAGAGCCGTGCCCTGCGCGACCTGAGAGAAAAATATTTAATATAATCTCGCAAACATAATTCTACCCATGTAACAAACCGTTATAGACCGTACCGTTAATTTATCCAACAGCAAGTCTCTCTCTGAGGTCAACTGTTGTATTTTGAGTTCAGCTTCTTTGATCTCATCCTCCAGCTGTAAACCTCCATGCGAGTCTCTCCTTTTAGAAGCCTTCAAATCCAATTGTGCCTAAAAAGTATTTGTTACCAGGACACGGTGTTACGCTTCGAATATCAGTAGCATAGTATTGGTCATGAATTAAAATATGCCTTTTGAAATGCATTTTCCTCCACTTTTATCATATTACAAATGATACGTAACTTTACAAGGAATAACAAAACTATGGCCAAACTGTGTTGTGAAGTTCAAAGAGGGGTTGGGTCAAAATCTCTTAGAATCTGTAGGGTAGTGTTAAAGGGACTCAATGTAGATTTTTTTTGTGGAGGCTTTATTACTTGGAATTGTTTTGTCAGACAGTATTCACGCTCCTTGAAAATAATGTATTCAATTAAATGTTTTGGACCCTCCTAATAAATACACTGTGCACTCTTAAGCTTTGACCTTGTAATAGAGCTACAATAAATACATTCTCAAAGAGACTATTAAAATGACTCACCCGATTTAATAATACTTTTAGTTTATCCCTCTCAGCGGTCAGAGTTTTCACGTCATTTTGAATATCTTCCATGTGTTTCTCAAAATCCAACAAAACGTTCCTCAGCCCATCTCTCTCCTGTACCAACCGGAGAACTTCAGCCTCTGTAGCTCCTCTCTGTGACACAAACTGTATCAATGTTTGCTGCTTAACAGGGAAATCTCTAAGATTAAGAGATCCTTTATTCGTCCCATAGTGGGGAAATTTCAGTGTTTCATCAGAAGTTACAGAACAGTAGAAATGAGGAGCACACAGCACAAGATAAGTGAACAATAGCTATACTAATTAGAATAAAACAAAAACTTTAACTCTAGCATCAAAGAACAAGTATAAAATCTGGAACACATTAATAATAAAGAATTACAAATTACATTTGGCAAAAAAGAGGCAAGTATAAAGTACTTTATATTCAAAATCAATTTATGTTTGAGTGCTCCTTGTATTCCTTGTGTTCTGTGGGCACTAAGTGCCCCACTGTGGAATATAAACAATTAGATAAATAAATAATGCATTATTTTTTACATAGCGCTTTTTGGACACTCAAAGAAACTTCTCAAAGTGAAATTCTTTCACTCCATACACAGTGGTGATAAACTACTACTGTAGCCACAGCTGCCCTGTGGCGAGGCAAACAGTACGTGCCATCAGCCCCTTCAACCACCACTAACCACTGCTTAGCCATAGAGGTCTGACAGGCTTTGGCTTCTTCAATTGTAGGTGGCACGACATAAAAGGTTTTCTTATCTTATTGTCTGATTAGCTCATTGTGATCAGCAAAGGATTCACTTCTAAATTTAATTCTAATTTAGTCACATGATGATCAAAACATGATGATCTCGTCTTACCTTGGGACTTCTGCCTCTTACAGGACTGCGGCTTGGGCCGCCTCTGGACATCTTGTATTTTTCTGCCTCTTGTCGATAGTAATCTCTTTCTTCTTCTAAACTTTTGACAAAAGCGTCGAGTCGTGACGGGGAGTGTTCCCTTCCACACACGCCATATTTAGTGCGCATGGCTTCCAACTCCAGCACCAAGTCTTTATCTATATAATATATACAAAATGATCCAACTTAAACATGAGACATCAGCATCATAATTGTAGTGTATTGACAGTAAAGTCTTGCTCACCAGATGCCAGGGTTTTCTCCAGTTTTCTTTGTAACCTGCTCTTTTCTTCTTCCACGAAATTGATCAGACCTTCCATTTTCACATTTTGCTCCCTTAGATCAGCCATCTCATCTCTGAGGCGGTCTTTCTCAAAGTCCGTCTCAGACTGTTTCTAATAAAACAAAGCAAGAAGAACATTTTAGCAAAGAGCCACACCAAAAAAATATTTTGTAATATTTTGTCTTCAACAGTCGGTCCACAGGCATAGAACTCACACTTCTCAGCTTTGTGATGATATCCTCCAGATCACCAATCATTTTCTGTTGCCTCAGGATCTCTTTCTGTGAACATTATTTGAAAAAATAAAAAGAACCAAAAATCATTACAAATGCTCAAAGAATCTCATTATGGGTGATTGTTCTTGTTTTTTGTGCGGATAAGTCTCCAAGCAGATATAAGATAGCAGAAGATTGTGTTATTATAGTCTTATTATAAATAAACAGCCATGACATAACACCAAGTATGAGCCTTTTTTTTGGTCATATCGTAATCGTTAAATTCACAAACCATGTACATATTTTTTATTAGATTTATTTCTGTGATTATTAATATTTTTAGGTACATCAACACAAACAACATCTTTGAAACACATTGCTCTTCATACCTTGCTGTCTTGCAGTTCCTGTTCAGCCGTCTCCAACACTCTATCTTTGTCCTTTTCCAACTTCTTGGCGAGGTCATCGATGTGTGTCAACTCTTCACACAGCTCCAGGTTTTTGAGAGAGAGATCGGCGACTTCACTAGAGGCGTGTTTCTTCCTCTGCTGCAGCCCCTGAACCTTCTGCTCCAGCGTCCTGTTGGTCTCTTGAAGATACTCAATCTTTGAAATAGTGAAATGTACCGTACATCAGAACAGTATCAGTAAATATGTATGTGCACTCCTGGTGGTTTAGTTAAGTCATTACAATCCAACTATCATACAGGGATCAAGAGTTCCGAGCTTCCGGCTCGACCGCACGGCATTATGGGTAGTTACGCTCTCCTATTAGATTACCTGTTGCGAGCGTGATCTGTCTCTCTTTTTTCCAGCCCATCGGTTGTTTTAATTGCTACAAAAATCACAAATTTCAGACATTTTGCAGGTAAAGATTTTTTCATGTAACAAAAAAGCAATGCATTTTTTTCTTGTGGTTTTAGATGTAAACACAACCAACTGACTATAGCTTATGACTGTAGCTATAGCTGTACTTTGGACATAGAGCCCTCAGAGCGTTTCATTAACTTATAAATAACATTTCTGATCAGAGCATTCAGAGTGGGGACATTATTAAGAACAAAGTTATTTTCACTTTATCTGTACACATGTGAAATCTCTGTGCTTAAGTGTTAGCCTGTCCATACAGCTTACAGAACTGCCTCTGAATGTCATCGTCATCACTGAGGTCACTCCTGATTACGTGCCCCAGGTATTTGGCCTTCTCTACATTCAGAAGCTCCACACCAGACAAATATGTCCAAAGTACAGCTTTGGGTAAGTTTATAAAGCTTGCGTGTAAGCATTCGATCCTCGTAAGTTGTTGTAGTGTAGTGTAGTTGATGTAGTTCTATCGTCAGTTGGTTGTGTTTACATCTAAAACCACGAGAAAAAAAATGCATTGCTTTTTTGTTACATAAAAAAATCTTACCTTCAAAATGTCTGAAATTGGTGATTTTTGTAGCGATTAAAACCATCGATGGGCTGGAAAAAAGAGAGACCGGTCACGCTCGCAACAGGTAATCAAATAGGAGAGCTTGATTTCCTGCCCACTTTTTTGAGAAAACTACCCACAATGCTGTGCGGTTGAGCCGGAGGCCCGGAACTCTTGATCCCTGTATTACCAGAATCTTTTTGTCTGTGACACATGTAGCTCTTAAGCACAGATTACTGATGCAAACCACCTGCTGGGGTTATTTAGCTAGAAATGTCTGTTTTACGTATGACTACAGTACTTATCATTTAAACAAATGTGTGGTGTTAATCATTTTCATAAAGATACTACATTCAAGCTCAATATACAATCTGATGAGAAAGTGAAGTTAATTTTAAGTGAAAGTTCTTACCTGCAGGTTGAGATGTGCAATCATCTTCTCATTGCTGACGTTTTGAGCTTCGAGAGAAATCACGTCATGAGGTCGTCCACCATGAAGCATGTGATTCAAACGGTTGATTTCTTTATCCCTCTCCTCCACCTACAAGAAAGATTATAACTGGAATTAACTCTCGCCACTTTCTCCAAATTCATTATAAGTTGTACAAGGGATTACTATACTCCAGAAAATAGAAGAAATCATTGTGAAATGGCATCAAATGACATTAAGTGTTTATAACGACATAATAACCGTCTAATGAATACATATGCACGCAAATGACAGCACTAAACCGCACTTATTTGCTTGTGATTTTTAGTTTGGTGTGAGCAAGGCTAATTGTAGAATAACCAAATGTCTTACTTGAATGTTGATGTGTCGTATCGTCTCATGGCAATTTTCCAAGTCAAGTTTAAGTTTTATTATGTCTTCTTGTAGCTCGTGGATTCTAGATAAAAGTATGGATACAATGATTTTAGATAATCCTGCTGTTTGACGCACAATCTCAGGGACATTCGTAGACTTCTAATTTTCTAACAAACCTTCCATCTGCCAAAAGCAACATGTCAGCTACGTAAGGGTCGTCAGGCTGTTGCACAGGATACGAAGATGATGAGTTGTTAATCAGATTGTCAATTTGCATTCTCTGACGCCTGAAGGGAATGCTGTGTTTTTTGCCACCTACAGAAAAAAGTTATTAATAACAGTTATCCAATTGTAATCAAACATTTTAACTTATACCTGGGGTCTGCACCACTGCTTGCATGTTTTTCTCCTGCAGCTGTTGAATGCGTTCTCCTTTGGCTTTACTGTCTTTTTCAAGACAGCGTACTTTGTGCACATATTGGTTATTTAAAAACTTCAGATCAGTAGTATCATGGTCCAATTTTCTGACATGTGCCTTAAGCTCTGTAAGGGAAATCCTTTTTATTTTTAATCTCTATGTAAAACTTATTTTCAGGATGAAAATCAGTATACAAACCACTAATTACACGATCCTTGTTCTCCTTTAGCTTTAACAGATCCAAGTGGAGCTCATTGTTCTCTCTGACCAGTCTGGCATTTTCTGCCTTGTACGGTTCAAGTAATGCATCAAAGTTTTTGCTTTCTTTCTCAGTCTTCCCAGCAGACAGCTTGGCAGTACGCAAGCTTTCAGTGGTATGGACCAAATCACTGAAGAGAGATAAATTAATAGATCAGTGGACGTGTTGGATGACATGGAAATAACAGTCTTCAGTGAACAGCTACGAGTCTCACCTGAAAAGTTTCTCCACCAAAGGAAGTGAGTCGATGCCCAGGGGGTGTCTGTAGCCCAACTGGTCCAAACGCTTTCTCAAGTTGACAAACTTTCTCTCGGCGCTGCTATTCATGGTTGTGTAGTAAACTAGTAACCTAGCCTTAAAATGTGGTTAAATCACGTTAGCTTACTAACGCTAGCTCTAAACATGGAATTATGTAAGCATGAATATTAACTATGGCTGTTTTTTGTGCTACAAAATACAGAAATCAGTGTCGTTATAGTTAACGTGATGTTTGCGATTAGCATCGACCATGTTAGCCCGAGGACACTTTCAGCTAACCTAGCTAACGATACTCACTGGTGATAGGAACCTGACAGCCGCGCGTCCACTAAGATCTATGAAACGTCTTTATTATGACAGACACAGCTCACAACGCGTATTTTATATTTGCAAAACATCGTTCTATGAAACGGCATATTTAAATGTCCCGTTAATAGTTCTTCAGCGGTAAAGTGGTTTGAAAAGAGCGCCGAGATGTGCAGTTTGGGTTCGTCGCCATGGAAGGGCTTGTGTACGTAACGTCACGTACGTGGGCGGAGACAAGGGTCAGAAACAAAACTTTTTAATATTTACATGACAGTGATGGCACCGTCCACTACTATTACACTGTTATTCAAGACATTTTAAATTTTATGAAAGTGACATTGAGACAACATGCCTCTAGAGCAAAATAAAAATGACTAATGCATCAATCCCACCATCAGTAATTTGCTTTGAATGGACAAAAAATCACTTGTATGTACAATCTATAAGGTAAAACCAATTAAGCAAGTTATTAGATACAGTCATATATTAAAGCACAAGTCAATGTCACAAATGAAGTTTTAATATATTTGTGTGTAAAACAAAAAACATGATTTAAAAAAAACAGTTTTCTTTAAAGGAGCACTTTTCTGTTGGGGGGAGGTTCTCTCCTTGCCAGCCAGGTCTCTCTATGCCTTGACATACATTTTAATGATCATAAGCAAAGTTTTATTGAAATACAAACAAGAATAGAAGTCACGTCATGACCTTACATTTCATCTCTCATGTTTTCTAGGTCATTTTGAACATCTGGAATGAGTGCAAGTTACCATTATATTTGCTTAAAATATTACTGTTAAACCCTCCATGAAGACACACTGGTGGCAGGTTCCCCAAGGTTTCATGGTGCATCAGTAGATTATATGCCAACAAGCACAGACAGACAAACACGCACGCACGCACGCACACAATCATCTTTTCACTTCCTTGCTCTATGAAATGTCATTATATACATCAATAACCTGTTTATAAGTAACATGTGCATTTAACTTCAGTCAGCGCCTTGTAGTGCATGGAGTCATTGTTGCATTAGTGTGATTGGGCAATACTAGAAAAGTACTCCAGCATGTCCTGAATGGTAAACTCCATAGTGATTCCAGAACCTGGGTAGCATCTGCCGATTAAATCTTCAAAGTGCTTGTACTGGCGAATGAACTCGTCTTGCATTGAGTGCCACACCACCTAGTGGATAAGAAAGTAATGAAAAGAATGGAATACATAACAGTAAATTAAGTGTTTCAGTTTATCAATTTTCTTACTTGAAGCAGACTTTCTTCCTCACACAAGTGTTTGTCAACTTTCTTGTAGAGATTGTCAAGTCCCTTTTTCACTTCTTTGCCAGGATATTCTTTGATAACTTTGCGCAGTTCTTGTTTATTGAAGGCAAGTTGATAACTCACCTCCTCCTCACGCACCCCCTGCGCTACACGAGCTTCTACTCCTTCAAAGAAGTGCTGCAGAGAACAGATTACAGTTAAACCATAAAACATACAATACATGCTGTATTTTACTCAAGATTTTATTATCCTACATTGAGTTTTTCCAAAGGCTGACCCAAAGAGTTGATAACATAGGACTGGAGATGATCCGTGTATTTCTGTTTAGCTTCACGTCTCTCAGCATCCAAACACGAGATCTTCAGACGCGACAGTGTTGAAAAGATGTGATGAAAATTCTCCATCATCACAACATCGCGTGGTGTCTTCTGGCTCTCATTGGCCACTTTCTCCACTATTAAACACATACATTTTTGTCAGTAGATATAAAAATGACACAGTGAAAATGTGCATCCCGTCTCATTACCGTTCATAAAAACAGCTCTGATCAGTTTGACATAAGCTTTGTCTAGGTCTCCACGGCGTTCAGCGTTACGAAAAATGGTTTCAGCCAATTCTGCAAATTCCTCAAATCCAGTAACAAAAGGCAAGATGCCAACTTTGCTTTTCTTCGAAATTTTTACTTCTTCCATCTGTCTTATTTGGCCAGACTATAAAAACACAAAGATAAGACACTTAATTAGACTACACTTACTGAAGCCCTTAATTGCAGTTAACAAAAAAATATATGGATATATATTAGAGTTTAAGCTGGCATACTCTCAGAACTCTCAAATGCTGGGCTCTCTCACCAGTTTTCACATGAATGTATTTTGTAGCTACATCACACACAGAAAAGTGAAACACAGGAGCACTTTTGATCAGCTCTCCCAATATGCAAATAAGACAACACGCAGATAATGCAGCCTGTTCTAAAAGAATGAGTGAATGAGATCAACGACATGTATAATTTATGAAAAATACAAATATATTTGAACCTGTGCATGAGAGTAAATGTATATGGTTATATAAATGTATGCATTATTAAAGGTGCACTGGACAATGGAGTCTGGACATTTCAGGCAAAATGGCATTTAATGAAACCGAATGAACTTACTATGCACTTATCAAAGTTCCTCTTGACTGTGACGAGCACATTTCCCAACGTGGTGCTGAGATAGGAGGCTGGGTCGACATTCTCCGCTGTCCAAACGTGATGGCTCATCTTCACTAACATGTACAGGGAGTTGAAGCTGTCAATCTTGTCCCCCAAAGCTATGAGACTGTTTAACTCTGTCTCTATGCTCTGGAAGATTTTATTCATCATCAGGCGCACAAGGTCTTTCCTACAATGAAAAATATTTGGTTTAAATAGTGCAAAGGGGCTGAGGTGCGAGTAAAATATAATTGCCACTCACTCTGAAGACAAAGAGTGTCTGTGTTCACTGTGATGAGGCATTCTTGTCTGCACCCCTCCATCTGACTCCTCGCTCTCTGGCTGACAGGAAATCACACACATACACAATGAAAATAAATGTACACCGAATAATTCATATAGAGCTGCAGGGTTAATACTCAACTAAACTAAATGACAATTTGACCAGTTGTCATTAGAAAATCACTAATTAATCACTTTTATTCAGTCATTTAGGTCTTTTGCACATTGAAAAATATTGAAAAACAGTTTTTTTTGGGAAACTAGGTTAGTTTTCCGTCGTAAAATTTTATATTTTTCATTATCTTTAGCTTGATTCATTGGCAAATCTACATCGAACTGTCAAAATGTACTGATTTTATTCTGTGCCAATCGCAAAGCAACCTCAATTTGTTAAAGAATAATTTAATCGATCTATATTATTGACTATACATCATACTTGAATTATGCCTATATTACAGTTATAGACAGTTTATATTTTAGAATTCCCCAAAATGTTAACGGTCCAGCAGGATTTCTTTGCAAGGATCACACTGGACAATCTCAATGTCTGCGAGACAAATACAAATTGAATACTTTGCCAAAAACTGTATAGTTGAAGCAGTGACAGAAGATAAAGTCAATTTGAAAGTATAAATTCTTTACCTGGGCAAGTGGTGGTATGACTGCTTGGTGCTGCTGTAGTTTAAAGAATTTACTGATAAAGTCCTGTTCTGCAAGACATAATGGCTCCAGCTCACTCAGAACTTGTTCAAAGATCTAAAAGCAAAAATCCACATTCAAAAGTAAAATTTTAAGTAAGTTAGGTTATATCAAGCTTTTCACTGGTTCACATAGAGCGCTTTACAACAAGAGTATTATGAAAAACCAGTGTCACCTTGTCAAACTTTGTTCTGTCAGCGACGTCCAAGTCCGAGGCCGACATGTTTCCCATGTCAAGCAGTGAGGACGACTGGGAGCGCCTGCTGTTGGAGCCCTGGACGGTGAGCTTATTCAGACTCGAGGTGGAGCCGGTGAGTTTCCCAGAGCTGCCGTGGAGGCCTAGCACAACACAGGCACCGTCATGTTGTGGAAAGAGGCTCATGTTTTACCTGCTCATCACTCACAAAACAGTATGTGGTTAGGTTACAAGGCGTCTGATGGGGTTCAAATGTTGATCATCTACTTTGGCTGAAATTAAGTATATAATACCTACAACTGTATGACTATCCTATAATGCAATAATATTCCTCCTGTTGCTTCATATATAAATGTTCAAACAAAAAAAGCTGGAAGTCACCCATTGTCACATTTGTTTGTCTTACTGACAAGAATTTGGTACAGTACTTGAATATAATACCATTTCTATAAAGTGGCACAAGTATTAAAAATTCTGTTTTAATTATAGTAAGTAAATAAAGAATTGTTTTGACAAAAAACACATGCAATCATTGTTCAATAAGTTCAATAAGTAAGTGAGTCTTCTTTTATGATTTTTTGATATTTCAATGAGGAATGAGGTATGCAATAAAGCAGAGATTTAACACCATAAGGTACAAAGCTGGTCAGCTATGTAAGTAACTGGTGATGAAGACAAATAGCAAAAAGCACATTAAAAGCCATTTGTATAAGGTGAATGTTTTTGAGCTTGATACTTACTTTCAGTCTCCATTTTGAGCGCACTCTCTTTCCGAGGAAGCGTGGCTGCAGCCGGTTAGAAAGGCAGGCATCAAAGACAGAGACATGTTAGGCTCAGAACATGCAGCAATGGGAGGGTGAGAGGTTAAATGTCCAGTGGCTTAAGAATGCTAGCATACACTTTGGAAAGCAAAATGCACCACTTTGTTTTCAGAAATAAGCTGGCACAAAGAGACAGTGGATGACATACTTCACCCAAACATACAACACAAAAGGCCAAAAGCTATTGATGAATTCAAAATGAATAAGTCATTAAGGATATATTCAATATAGGCAGAAATGTGGTATGGACACCCCAGTACTCATGCAGATAAATACTTACATCAAATACACTTAATGAGCTATAACCACAAGATTTCAGGTCTTACCAAACTTGCCCTTTGCCTCTTTGCTCGTTCCTGCCATTTTCATTTTGGCAACTTCGAAGAAATCTTTAATCTCACGTTCATACAACCGACTCATGTACTCAACGTAGGTCTGTGGATTAATCAGAGAACACACAATTTACAATTTGATATAGCATTCAAAATAATGTAGTGATGGTAAATTTGATTATTTGAGAGAGAATACGAAAGAATAAGCTATGTGACAGCAGTGTTAAAAAGACGATTATTTTGCACTAGTTTGCCAGTTTATTACTGGGACTACTACGAAAAGCCAGGTCTAGGCCATGATCCCAGTTTTAGCAGTGGTGTAAGAGGTTTGTTTTTCCCTATTTCTATGACGTTGCATTCAGTTTACCCTGCAAGATTCTCAGTTAGGATAATAATACACATATATGTTGAAAGGAAAAGATTGTGACCCTCACCCTGGACAAGCCGTCATATTTCTCTTTCTGCGTGTTCTTCAGCCACTCCATTAGTTTGGCGTAACGCAGAAGGTCTCTGTGAAGTGGACTGTGTTTGGGAAGAGTCAACTCTGCTGTATTCTGAGATATTGTGGAGCTCTGGTCATGGCCCTACAACATAAAATGATAAATACATTAGTGATAAAAGATAAAACCTCTCAAGGCAGCCAACCATATGAACGTTGAACTACAACATTTCAAAATCAGGTGCATGTCATAAAACAGAGAAAAGTAGAATACATTGAATGCACCTCATCTCATAGATGGGTGCTTTTACAATATTTGACTCTGAGTTAATCAGAACAGTTAGACATTTGCTCAATGACACCTTACAGGCTTACACCATTTATTATTAAGAATAGTTTAATTTACACTTTGCAGACCAAATTTCTGTAGCCATATTTGTCTGTTCATGATTGACATGCACTATTTACCCATTTCTGTTTTCTCAATTCATACATGCACACAGCAGTCAGGCAATGAACCGTGTTAGCATGACAGACACATTGCTGAATTGACAGATAGCATTTGTTACTGCCACCTGTTTAAAGTAATTATTTTATTGCATGGTCAATGTCATTAGCCAAGCAATATATATAATATATATATATATATATAATAATATATAACACTTCCTTACATAAAGTAATGTAAGTTAGAATGAAGATGAGAGGTCATCCAGTGGCAGACATGAGCAAGTACTCACTGGGAGAGACAGGCAGGAGGACCTATAGAACTGAGGGATGGTCATTTTGAAGTAACTGAAGTGGTTGAACTGATACAGACAGAGACAAGAGGAGGATGAATAAAGAGTGAAACATGGGGACAGAAATAGAAGGGACACAGCAGATCAGAATACCACACAGGAAATTGAGCTGCGGAAAACAGGAAGTCTAACTGGAATACAGCTGCGTCCAAATACTTTTTCCTAGTCTCCTCCTGTTCTCAACTTTGCAGAAGGGAAATCCCGAGGAGAAGGGAGCAGAGGTGACTTGAGAAGTGAGAAGAGAAATTCAGGATGCATCCACTCTGAGCTGTTCATTGCATTACATTCTGCTTTCATTTAAAACAACAAAAACCTTTGTTGTCATTTATTTGAAAGAAACCAATCTAGGCGAGGTTAAAAGCAGAATGAGCTTTACCTCCTGTCACAGGTATTACCTGGTGAACAAACACATTGTTGAGGTGATTTGTGAGACGGCGGGCAAAGGTGTCTCTGAGCTCCACAAACAAATTCTGCTGCTGTTTTACTGCAGAAAGTTTGTCATGACCTGGTAGGTGACATAAATGTTCAAAATACGTTACAAGTTATCAGTACAGACATAATACCTAAATGGAATATTACAATAATAACATACCTGGTCGAAGGGCCACATTCATGCACTGCAGAAGAGCTTCAGAGGCGTTGATACAAGCTTCAATCCCTTTAGGAGAGGTCAGATCTCCCTCCTGTAAGGCCCTAATGTGTCCTTTCGACAAGTCTAGGTAGTTCTGGGGATATAAAGAGTTCATATGACTTTATCTGAAACAGTATATTATACTCCTAGTGAAGGCTAGTACATTTATTGGAAATCTGTTTGAGAAATAGTTCTCTTGCTGGTCAAATACAGTACTTCATCTATATATTTTGCTTTTCTGTGCTCTGAAACTATTATCAACCCATCATAATGAAACATTTACCACTAAGAACTGAATTTCATCAAGCAGTTTTCCATTGTTGGTGTTGCTGATCTGAATGAGGCGGTTGCTCTGGGAGATCTGGTCCATTTGGTCCTTCACACTTTGCAGCATTTCTTCGTAGCTGCTGAGTTTTCCCTCAATAGTGTCGACCTCAGTCAGTGCTTCATCCAAAAGTTGCATCAGGATATTGACCTGCTTCTCCGACGCCATAATGGACTGGATGTTGGCCTGAAAGAGGGGAGAAGAATGTAGGTCATAATTATGTTGTTACATTCAGTAAAACTTAATACAACAGTTGCCTTCTCTGCTGATTTGTCTCTGCCCACCACAAAAGGGGTGCAAGTTAATAAATAAACAGCAACTAATTGATCATGGAAATTGTTGTCTAATTTTAATAATCAATAGATGTTTTTGAACTATACAGAAATGTAAACGTGCTATGAGAGGTTTTGACTTACTGTAGCGTCAAATGAAAATGTGTTAAGACAAAACATGTATATTAAACAGAGAGACCAACTTTGTTATAACTGGTCTTTAAGAAGATGTTCTTGAGTCACAACATTTTGTGGTCAATACCATTTATACATGTCATATTCACAGTCCTTTTATGATCCAAACAGCTCATCAAAGGAAGAATCGCCAGACAAGATGATAATCAAAACAATTGTCAAGTTCAAAGTATTTATTAGTATATAGGTGAAGTAGGTATTTTTCTAGGGCTAGATCATCTCAATAGTGATGTGAGAATAGTCACAACAATATTGTTGTGATCCATGAGCTGAGAAGAGAATTATAGGTTCTCTACTCAGCTTATACATCCTTTAATGTTACCCATACAGTACTTTATTTCAACAGACAAACACATTTGGGTTGTATTGTTTACATTACCAATATAAAAGAGAAGGCATTGAGCTCATGTGAATCTCATTCTGTGACTGACCCCATCTAGCACTTGCAGCTCCCTCGACAGCTGTTCTGCAAAAGCTTCAGCGTTAGAGATGGAGAACTCGCATATCTCCATCATGCCCTCGATGTCTTGCTCCTCACGAGTGCTCAGCTCCTGGTAATCATCAAGAGTATCTTCATCGCCTCCAGCAACACTCTGGCTTTCTCCACTTGGAACTGATTCTATGGGAAAACAAATGATTACAATATTCTCATGATATAAAGTGGGGTCCAAGAATAACATAAGTATGAGACAATTAGAAATGAACACCCATACTTACAGATGTAGGCTTGTCTAAGACTAATTGACCTTATGTCTAATGGATACAGACAGGATGAGTACAGACCCAAATATTAAGGTTTCAAGATGAATGGGTAAGCAAAAAAAAAAACAAAGTGGGTAGGAACCATAGACTGCAGAAAGAGTGGACAAATCGAGTGCTGACATCAACCGTAGCGTCTTATTGTGGAAGAAGCAAATTAGAGCCAACTCAAATAGACTCCATGGGTAGGAATCTGGAGCAACATTTGTGGGTTGCAACAACCTAGCAACCAAAAAGCAAATCAGGATTGTTAACGGTTTGGTTATCTGGATTTACATTATCAAAATGAAAACCTATAGTCCTTAAAGCCAAAATGGTGGGTGTGGCAGAGGAATGATCTTGGATGGAAGTTTTACTCCAACATGGAGACAAACCATGTTGGAGTAAAACTTTGCCCACTTTGCACTCCCATGTTATGGCTTCAAAGATCAATCAGCATTGTCCATTCATACAGTCTATGTCTATGGTAGGTACAGAAGCATTTTTTATGAATATAAATATAATGCAATTCCAAAATACACAGCATTGTGGGATCTACAAGATAGACAATTCATTAATGGAATTATTTTAATATTAATACAAATGCTCTACAATATGAATTCTATACTATCTCCAAGGGATTCATTATGTAAACAATGCTGTTACTGTAAGAATTTTAACACTAGGATGAAACATTCATACTTGCAATGTTTTGTTAGATGAATTGTATTAGATGAGAGGGTGAACGTAGTCAATTCATCTGTATAATGTGTATGTGATGGGTTAGCTGGCAGAGGCCATGAGGTCACAAAGAAAATAAGTGAGGGGTAGCGAAGTCCTACCAACCTTCTGCTTTAGGAAGTTCTGGCCAGAGAAAGGTCAAGAGAAAGAAAGTGAGAATAAAGAAGTATTTAACATAGAAGGCCATACAACAAACCAGGATTAAAAGAAGAGGCAGTGTGTAAGTAAAGTTAAGATAACACAAACACAGGCAAAAAATAGCTGCACCAGTAGCAAAATAATACAGCAAAATCATGCACTTAAAACTAGAATAAAACATGAACATAATATAAATATCATGTTTTGACTCTTAAAGGGCTTTCTGTTGAATATTTTTTGATCGAGCAAAATTTAAGTGATGTGATGATAAAACTAGTCCATACCCTCCAGCAGCTGCGGACTGACATTCACAAATTCAAGCTTTTTTCTTAGGTATCGCTGATTCAATTTCCAAATACAAGAGATGAAAGAGTTTTTCTCAGCTGTGCTACTGGCCACCCACTTGTACACCTTCTCAAAGTGTAGGTCGAACTCAGGGTTTTCCTAAGACAAAAAATAGGCAGTCAGTACAATGATATAAGGATGGGAGTTTTAAATGTAAATAATTAACTACACAATGTACCTTGCTCGCATCTTTGGCATCTACTTCAGTCAAGTCTCGAAGCTCCCAGGTTTGTTGTCTTTTATAGAAGTCTCCTTTGTCAGATTTCTTCACCTTTACGACCTTAACTTGAACAGGTCTCTCTGTAGTAACTGAACAAAAGTACAGAATTATTAATAGTAGTGAGAAAAGTGGGTGATGTATGATGATTGATTGATTCATATTCAGTTCATAATGACATTACCCGTGGCACATAAAAAGCAGTTCTTCTTTTTCTTCCCAGCCTTGCACACATTAACAATGCCGAGAAGACGCTCATCATTGGGGGTGAAGATGTCCCTCTGGAGTGCGTGCTTTATGGCTGTCATCGTGGAGGCAGCTACTGTCATGAGGAGAAAAAACCAAACAAAGATATCAACATTATTACAACACTTTACAGCAGATCAAGCTTTTTTTTTTTCTTTTTCTAGATAAACAATGATGATGTACTAACAGAGAATAGAAGTCATACTAAGACCAGAATGTTAGCTTCATTGACCAATAATAAACAAACTAATAACTGTAATGAATAAGCACATCGATAGTCCTGTACAAATCCTTCCTTAAAGAGCTCACAAACCACATTTCACACAGACATTTTCGTATGCAAGCCCAAAAGTAAGCATCATAAGCAGAAAAAAAACAGTCTCGCTCTTAGCTATCATGCTAGCTGGTAAAGAATAACACTGACTGAGCTGTCCTCGTACGCCGACATTGGTTGCAGTTGTGATTTAAATGCTATTGTAGAGAATTAGTCGAGTAAAACACTAAAATATGAACACATTTGTATGATAAAGGCAGTTATTACCTCGTAACACCACCACTCAGCCTTTAGCACTAACAGCACCGCCCTCTGGTTTCCGGGTTTGTGTCACGTGACCAACACAACACCAAAGCAGCCTCTGCACGGTGATGTCTGAAGTTTAACCATGAGTTATTCTAAACTGTTCCAGGTTTAGATTTTCTAGCGATGTGCTTTTTCCATTTATGATCACATCTCCCACCCCCTATAATCTGCAGCCTATTTCAGAACAGGTACTCCCATATTGCCAGGCGTTTCAGATGATTTTTTACTGATTTTTCAACAGGATATTGTGTACTATGACTATCTGAAATTTCTGAAAGATTCTGAAAGAATGGACTGTCTACTTTCATCAGCAAAAAGAATTTTGTTTCAAGCTTGTTTCGTTCCCCTGTAACCCCCAGTCGAGTAGAGGGAAGATTTAGTCAAATCACCAGTCTCGGACCAAAAGCTGAGAAAAAGAGACTTAAGTGAAAATGACCACACCATGCAGAAAAATGACTTTGACAAAAAATATCTTTTACTTTTGTCATTTTTTAAGCTTGTGAACATTGTTCCTATCAATAAAACAGCAAAAACAAAACATAAAAAGTGCATTTTATACAAAGGTGTGTGTGTGTGTGTGTGCACTTGTTTTCAACTCCTGGTGGGTTCCATAACCTGAGATTCCACTCACGTCATGGGGACTGGTTTTACGTGGTGGGGCCCGAACACCGGACCCCACTGGTCCAAGCTTAATAATCAATGGGTAATGCTTTTCTAACGGTCCTTATGCAGTCTCTGTAAAAATATGGAAAGGACCCCTGGAGGTTTACTTTCCTGAAAAAAGTGTGTTCTGTGTCGGAACCCTGGTGGTGGGTTGCGGGATATCAAGGAGGGGCACACTGGGGCAATTTCAGTCCAGCAGGCTGGAGCCAATCATGGAGCAGCACAACAGAGGAAATCAGGTGTCAGGCTAGAAAAGGTGCAAGTGTGTGGTTCATTAGGCTGCAGCCAATCACAGAGGAGCACACTGAAGCGCACGCTTACAAACCACTGGTAAGTGCTGACTACAAGTCATGACTTCAAATTGTTATATAGAATGATTACAAATTATTTGTTGTTTGTGCAGCTTAGTCAAGAGTCCCTAATTGATGAAGTCGACTCAGATTCTGACGATTTAACTGTCAAGAAGAAACCTGTAAAAAAGTATGGAAAAAGAAAAATCAAAAACACTTTTCTTCAAGACTCGGAAAGTGACGAACCAAAGGCAAATAAGATTGTTATCATGCAGCTGCAAAAGAAGAAAAATGGGGGGCGAGTTTACAGCAAGAGACACTTCTGCCTCTACTGTTCAATGTCCTGCCACAAAATGTCCCGTCATTTGACTAGAAAACATGGAAATGAAAGTGACGTAGCCAGAGCATTGGCTCTACCTGTGAAATCTAAAGCACGTAAACTTCAGTTTGATTTGATCAGGAATAGTGGAAACCGTGAGCACAATTTTGAGGTTTTAAAGGCCGGCATTGGAACTTTAGTCCCAGCTAAACAGCCAAATTGCCCAGTTAAATCCAGTGAGTTTTTGCACTGTATAGACTGTGGGGCATTGCTTAAGCGAAAGTCGCTGTGGAGGCATGTGGCCAGGTGCCGGCTTTCACAGAAAGATGCCCAGGCTAAACCAGGCTAAACCAGGTGGAAGTAGGGTCCAGTCCCTCTGCTCCCTAGCCCAGCCTGTACCGGAGGGCATCAGCAAAAAGCTGTGGTCTTTAATTTCGGCAATGCATCAGGATGAGGTCACGGGTGTTGTCAAAGCAGAAAAGGGGATTCTGAGACTCGGAGAGCACCTGTACTTAAAACACGGGCATGATAAGACTAAGCATGATTACATTAGGCAGAAAATGAGAGAAGTCGGTAGGTTAATTAACGAAGCAAAAACCGCAGGGAAACTGAAAACAATTAAGGATTTCTTTATTCCTTCCAACTTTAACCATGTGATTGATGCAGTCAGGTCTGTGGCTGGATATGATGAGGAAACAAATCAATACAAGACTTGCCATCCTTGGCCCTCAAACTCGGCCATAGCCTCAGAAAGCTAGCAGATATTCTTGAATGTGACTCAAAAATGGAGCATTGTGTTGATGAACTATTTATTAAAAACCTCCAACGAAGCCGGCTGCTTTTTGAGAAGAGGTGGGACGTCTGTGTTTCTTCTGCTGCCCTACAGACCCTCCGGCAAGCCAAGTGGAACACTCCGGACCTGCTCCCTCTGACTGAGGACGTTAGAGCCATGCATGCACATATTGAGGTATGTCGACCTGAATATGTGCAAACCCTAATAAGTGAGCCAACGTCTAAGCATTGGTCTAAACTGGCAGTTTTGACTCTTTGTGAGGTCATTATTTTCAATCGAAGAAGGGAAGGTGAGGTTTCAAAGATGCCACTGACAGCCTTTACCTTAAGAAGTAAGACTGGGGTCCATTCTGACATTGCTCTGGGACTGTCCCAACTTGAGAAAAAGCTGTGTCAGCATTTTCAACGCATTGAAATTAAAGGGAAAAGAAGTCGGAAAGTGCCGGTTCTTTTGACTCCTGAAATGATTGCTTCGATGGAGGTGCTGGTGGAGAACAGAAGGGCCTGTTCCATCTCTGACCATAACCCATACTTCTTCTCCCGCCCGGGCGCAGACACCCACATCAGGGGATCAGACTCCCTACGGCAGGTAGCCAAAGAATGTGGTGCGGTGCATCCAGAGATGCTATCCTCAACCAAACTTAGAAAGCACATAGCTACTATGTCTACAGTTCTCAATATGAAAGAGAATGAGATGGACATACTTGCCAACTTCCTCGGCCATGACATTCGCATCCACAGGCAATATTACAGACTACCAGAGGGGGCACTGGAGCTGGCCAAAATCAGCAAAGTGTTGATGGCCATGGAGCAGGGAAGAGTGACGGAATTCGAAGGAAAGGGCCTCGACCAGATACAAATTGAGCCTGAAGGTAATTCTTGATATTATTAAAATTTGTATGATTTTTTTCCCCTAAAGGCCACTTGTATTTTTATTTTCTGTGCGACAGGGAGAGCAGTAGAGATCCTCTCACAAACGGACGGGCTAAAAGAAACTTCAAGCGGAGAACCTTCAACCATTCATCCAGATGCACCCCATGGTAGTGGCAGTGCCCCTTCTGGTAAGTGTACCAGGTGGGGGATTACAGCCAGGCTGCTTGGTCCTAACCCTGGGAGTGTATATTGCTAATATATTTTTATTTCTCTCCCTAGAACGTGTAAGAAAGCCATGGTCTGCATCTGAGGTGAAGGCTGTGGAGAAGACCATGACACCTTTCATACAGACTGGAAAGGTCCCTGGGAAGTCTCAGTGCCTGGCCTGCATTAATGCCTCACCAGATGACCTTAGACATCGGACATGGAGTGGCATTAAATTCTATGTCAAAAATAGAATCACTGCAATTCGAAAAAAAATCTAAAATAAAATTCCTTTAAAAGAGTTGTTTGGTTTCTATTGACTGTTTTGTATTACTTAAAGTAGTCCCAGTAAAAAAAAGATTATGTCTATGGGTCCCATTCTGAACGGCCCTGTCAAAGGGACCCACCAGGTAACAAACGTGTGTGTGTGTGTATATTTACACAGTGTAGTTTTGTTTGGTGTGGTAGGCAGTAAAGCACTCTCCTGGATGTAAAGGGACACAACAGGACTTGCACCACAGCCGGGCCTGCGCAGACCCTACACCTCCTTGAGGGTCTAGCCTTACTGCTGGAGGGAAGGTACTCCAGCTTGTGCCTCGCCATCCTTCCATCACGCCTGCTCTCAGGATCTCTATTGTTGGGAGCCCTTAGGTTAGCCTCTCTCTCCACACCTACTTCCTCCTCCTCCACTTCCACTTCCACTTCCACATCCTCCTCCTCCCACATCCTCCACCGCCACATCCTGCTCCTCATACTCTACATAAGGTTTAGTGGTCCAGGACTTTACCACCTGCCGCATGAACTCTAAAAGCATCTTACACTCTCTGTTCCTGGCTCTGTATAAAACAAATGAATTGTACGTAGAGATTTGGAAAGAAAAAGCAAACTTTTGACCAATTCAGCGACTTCCTGATGAAGGGGTAGTAGGCTATGTTTTGGTCTAACCTATCTACCCCATTCATGGATGTGTTGTAGGCCACAACACACTCTGGCTTCAACTGGGTCACCTTTTCCCTGTGTCCCCTCTGCCACACTTCAACACTCTCCATGTTGTCCTGGTGACAGGTCGTCACCAGCCTTTTGTCCTGCCAGGCTACCACCATGACCTTCTTGTTGTGGTACACAAGCCTCCCTCCAACACCCAGGTCAGACTTGGTGACATCCCTGATCACCTGAGGCTCTCCCCGGTTCCTCCTCAGTGTCCCGCACCTGTTGGTTTTCGCCTCCTGTAGCTGCTCACAAAGTGCAAAGGAATTATAAAAATTATCCATAAACAATGTATGTCCAGCACCTGGGAGACAATCAAGGAGGGGAAAAAACTATTTCGGGCAGGGTACGTGGTTCCCCAACATAAGGCTGCAGGTTAAAGCAGTACCCAGAGGCCGAGTCGCACAGAACATATGATTTAATGCCATATTTGACTGGCTTCTGGGGGTTGTACACTTAGAAGGAGAGCCGTCCTCGCCACTGCATCATGCCCTCGTCAATGCAGATGTTCTGCCCAGGTTGGAACATGTCCTTGAACTTTTGGACAAGGTAGTCCAACCCAGGGCGAACCTTGAACATCTTGTCCATAGCATCAACGGACATTGTTATTGTCTGGTTGAAATACGTTGTCGCCTCCATCTCGTTGACACTCCAGTACATCGCCAGGCTTGGATTTAAAGCTCAGTCCAAAGAATCTTTTCAACTCTGGGATGGACACCGGTTTCCACACATGCCCTCTGCTGTGTGGCAGAATCTCTGGGTGTGCCTGAAAATATTGCTTGGCATACAGATTTGTCTGCTGAACTACAGTATATGATGGAGCAGCTCATCTGTAATGAACAGCTCCAGGAAGTCAGCTGCCATCTTTACTCTTTGTAACTGTAATACATTATTGAAATATATACAAAGAATTAACATAAATATTGTTTGATTGCTTTGATATGATGTGCAGAAAGACATTTTTACCTTTCCTCTTCTTCACACCAACTGAACTGGCAGATGTGACACTGCTCGATGTAGAGGCTGTAGAATACAATATGATACCTTTATTATTGTTTTAGAATAAGATGGAAAGATTAAAATATATATGTATCCACATATACAGTGCCTTGCGAAAGTATTCGGCCCCCTCGAACCTTTCAACATTTCGCCACATTTCAGGCTTCAAACATAAAGATATAAAAATTTAATTTTTTGTCAAGAATCAACAACAAGTGGGACACAATCGTGAAGTGGAACGAAATTTATTGGATAATTTAAACTTTTTTAACAAATAAAAAACTGAAAAGTGGGCGTGCAATATTATTCGGCCCCCTTGCGCTAATACTTTGTAGCGCCACCTTTTGCTGCAATTACAGCTGCAAGTCGCTTGGGGTATGTCTCTATCAGTTTTGCACATCGAGAGACTGGAATTCTTTTCCATTCTTCCTTGCAAAACAGCTCGAGCTCAGTGAGGTTGGATGGAGAGCGTTTATGAACAGCGGTCTTCAGCTCTTTCCACAGATTCTCGATTGGATTCAGGTCTGGACTTTGACTTGGCCATTCTAACACCTGGATACGTCTATTTGTGAACCATTCCATTGTAGATTTGGCTTTATGTTTTGGATCGTCCTGTTGGAAGATAAATCTCCGTCCCAGTCTCAGGTCTTTTGCAGACTCCAACAGGTTTTCTTCCAGAATGGTCCTGTATTTGGCTCCATCCATCTTCCCATCAATTTTAGCCATCTTCCCTGTCCCTGCTGAAGAAAAGCAGGCCCAAACCATGATGCTGCCACCACCATGTTTGACAGTGGGGATGGTGTGTTCAGGGTGATGAGCTGTGTTGCTTTTACGCCAAACATATCGTTTTGCATTGTGGCCAAAAAGTTCGATTTTGGTTTCATCTGACCAGAGCACCATTTCAATATAATTGCATTCACAGTGCTCCTTGAGATGTTTAAAGCTTGGGAAATCTTTTTGTATCCAAATCCGGCTTTAAACTTCTCCACAACAGTATCTCGGACCTGCCTGGTGTGTTCCTCTGTCTTCATGGTTCTCTCTGCGCTTTAAACAGAACCCTGAGACTATCAAAGAGCAGGTGCATTTATACAGAGACTTGATTACACACAGGTGCATTCTATTTATCATCATCAGTCATTTAGGACAACATTGGATCATTCAAAGATCCTCACACGGATCGGCACGGTGGCTGAGTGGATAGCACTCTCGCCTCTCAGCAAGGAGGTCCTGGGTTCGAATCCCGGCCGGACCAGGGCCTTTCTGAGTGGAGTTTGCATGTTCTCCCCGTGTCTGCGTAGGTTTCCTCCGGGTACTCCGGTTTCCCCTACCACTAAAAATATGTACAATAGGTCTGGCATGCGCCTCCTGTTCGGCGACCCCGCTCCCATCTCTGTGTGGAGTGAGAGACAAATGCCCAAAAAATAACAATTGTAAACCGCTTTGTGACTCTGGTCTGTGAAAGGCGGTATATAAATAAAGCTTACTTACTTACTACTTACTTACTCACTGAACTTCTGGAGTGAGTTTGCTGCACTGAAAGAAAAGGGGCCGAATAATACTGCACGCCCCACTTTTCAGTTTTTTATTTGTTAAAAAAGTTTAAATTCATCCATCCATCCATTTTCTTCCGCTTTATCCGTTGCCGGGTCGCGGGGGCAGCAGTCTAAGCAGAGACGCCCAGACTTCCCTATCCACACACACTTCCTCCAGCTCGTCCGAGGGGACCCCAAGGCGTTCCCAGGCCAGCTGAGAGACATAGTCCCTCCAGCGTGTCCTAGGTCTTCCGCGAGGCCTCCTCCCGGTGGGACGTCTCCCCCCTGGACTGCCACCTTAACGTGGTGGGGGAGTTTGAGTACTCGGAAAAGTTTAAATTATCCAATAAATTTCTTTCCACTTCACGATTGTGTCCCACTTGTTGTTGATTCTTTACAAAAAATTAAAATGTTATATCTTTATGTTTGAAGCCTGAAATGTGGCGAAATGTTGAAAGGTTCAAGGGGGCCGAATACTTCCGCAAGGCACTGTATACTATACATATTGTATATATTACACATATTTTATACATTATACACATTACATATATTACACATTTATTTTTATTTATATATATTTTATGTATATATTACCTGTTCTATCAACAGCAGGGTTCCTGGATGTGGCCGCTTTCCTTAAAGTAAAGTGCGCCCCTAGTGGTCACGTCGGGGACATCCATCCTCTACGTAGCGTAGTATTTTTCTCGTACTAGTGTAAAGATTTGATTGTGCAACTTTGGTGAGGATCGGAAAAGTTTAGGTCAGAAGCCTTCCATAGGTGGCTCTGTAGAGTCATATTAAGTGTGTATTTTCACACCTTTACGCTCAGGCCAATACCAACTGTTAGTGATGTGAGTTTAGCTCTGTAAGTCTGAGAATGTGGTCAGGAGAGCATCAAACATGGAGAAATTCCCCACCACCTCGCATGAAAGCTATAACAAAATTCTAACTTTTTTGCAATGATTGTATAACTTCAATCCATCCAGATGGAGAAATGACATGGTAGAAGTCTGTGCGATGAAAATCCAGGGACTAGTACGAAGCCAAAAACGTGACACCTTGAACTGCCTGTAGGTGACGCTGTTGCACTCACAGTTGTGTGATGCATATCGTTGTGTTCAGAGTCATACGCTGTATTTGTGAATTCATTTCTAGCCTCATCGGAGAAACATTTTGCCCCAAAAAGCTAATTCATCCACTTTGCGGCGCCCCCAGTGGTCAGGTGTGGGACTGACAACCTTTGTGTAATGTAATTTTTTTCTCATCTTGGTCCAGAAATTACACTCAGCAATTTTTGGGCTGATCCGAGCACTAGTGCCCTATTACTTTCCGACAGGTGGCGCTAAAGAGCTCATATTGGGCGAATGATTTTAGTGTCATTGCGTTTAGGCCATAACCTAATATTACTGATGTGAGACTCAGCTCTGTAGGTCTGAGCCTGTGGCCCTGAGGACTCAATGAAAACGGCCAAAACGAAGGCCTTATTCACCATGGCGAGGGACAAAAACGGTGCAGAATTTCCAACTTTTTCGTGATGATTGCACAACTTCAACCCGTCCAGATTGGGAAATGACGTGGTAGAATTCCGTATGATGAAAAACCAGGGACTAGTACGAAGCCAAAAACACAACACCTTGAACTGCCTGTAGGTGGCACAGTTGTGTGATGCATATTGTTGTGCTCAGAGTCATACGCTGTATTTGTGAATTAATTTCTAGCCTCATCGGACAATGATTTCTTCCCAAAAAGCTCATTCACATATTTTGTCGCACACCCAGTGGTCAGGTGTGGGACTTACAACTTTAGCGCAATATAATTTTTTGCTGTTCTCGGTCCAGAGATTACACTTATCAATTTTCAGGCTGATCCGAGCACTAGTGCCCTATTACTTTCCAACAGGTGGCGCTAAAGAGCTCATATTGGGCGAATGATTTTAGTGTCATTGCGTTCAGGCCATAACCTTATATTACTGATGTGAGTCTCAGCTCTGTAGGTCTGAGCCTGTGGCCTTCAGGGCTCAGCGAAAATGGCCAAAACGAAGGCCTTATTCGCCATGGCGAGGGATGAAAACGGTGAAGATTTTCTAACTTTTTATTCATGATTGTATAACTTCAATCCGTCCAGATTAGGAAATGACATGGTAGAACTCTGTGTGATGAAAAACCAGGGACTAGTTCGAAGTTAAAAATGAAAAGTCAAATTGGTGGC